GGCGCGTACACATGAGCGTGATTGGTTGAGTGAGCATGCCCAGATGGCCGGCCCGCCGGGCTACCGCCCCTCGGCGGGCAAAAACAGGAATCAGGAAACGAGAGTCCGGCGGGTTGCCAAGAAATCGGCGGGCAGAGCGGAAAATTCCCTTTCCGGCATCCGGAGGCAGAAACCGCAACCGCGACAGAATCTGATAAGGCGAGAATCGGACGGACAGAATCAGATCGATTAGGCAGGAACGGAAGCTGGGTGAGGAATCCTGCCCGGAGGCTGAGCGACCGGCGTGGAAAGGGGGCGAGGGTGCGGGGGGTATCGAGATGCTGCGCCTAGCTCCTCGTCTAGCTCCTCGTCTAGCTCCTCGTCTAGCTCCTCCCGCCACCGACAAGGCCAGCTCGAGTGCGTGAGCAGCGGTGCTTGCTGTGAGGGGAAGGCTTAGAGCCCCCAGAGGGGAGTGGGGGGGCGGGCTGTGTCTGTCATCATCATAATGAGGAGGAGAAGAAGAAGGAGGAGGAGGAGGACGGGCTGTGTGTGTCGGTGCTGCCGGCTGCTCCTGCTGGTCTCGCAGAGACTTGGTGAGCTCCTTGCCGCCCTCGCGCCGCACGCGCTCGATCTCCTTTTGCGACTCGACGTCGATGCCAGCCTGGTGGGGAGAGGATGGTGGGGAGAGGATGGTGGGGAGAGGATGGTGGGGAGAGGATGGTGGGGAGAGGATGACTTGAGAACTGGATGAGGGGACGAGTGGCCCTCCGTGGAGGCGACACCGGCTGCGAGCTGTGTGATTGGGCGAGGAAGGGAGGGAGGGAGGGAGGGAGGGAGGGGAAGGGAGGGAGGGAGGGAGGGAGGGGAGGGGAGGGAGGGAGGGAGGGAGGGAGGGAGGGAGGGAGGGAGGGAGGGAGAGAGAGGGCGGCACCTTCTTCGCCCGCGCCTTTGCCAGCGCCTCGTCCAGCTTCGCCTTCTTCTCCTGCGGCGGCGAGGACAAGCGCCGCGTGGGGAGAGAGAGGGGCTGTGTGCGGAGGTGGACGGCGGGCGCTCCGCAGATGCCCCTCTTCCGCTTGAGTTTGGGGCACCAAGGGGGAGGGGGGGGGGCAGTGGCTGCTGGAGAATGCTCAGCCTTCTAGCAGCAGCAGAGTCGCTCCCAGTAGAGATGGGAGGGGCGCCCTGGGCAGTTCGCTGCGCGCCTCTGGCGTCAGCTTCGGGCCTCCAATCTCCCGCGATCTCCGAGAGATCTCGGTCACATCTCGACTCGTCTCGCCTCTGGCGTCAGCTTCGAGCCTCCACCCTGCATGCTTTGCGCGAGCGCCGCGTCGACCTCTGCTTGCGGCTTGACCTGAGGTGCGGACAGGCTTAGGGGTTAGGGTTAGGGTTAGGGTTATAGACCTCTGCCTGCCTCTCTCCACACTCTCCACGCTCTCCACGCTCTCCACGCCCTCCACGCAGGCAAGGCGGAGGGGGAAGGGCAAGGCGGAGGGGGAAGGGCAAGGCGGAGGGGGAAGGGCCCGTGGGCAGCCGCTCGCGTCGCCCCACCGGGGGGGGCGAGAGCTGGCGCGGCATGCAGAGCGCACGGCGCGAGGCTGCGCGGGTGAGCAGTGAGGGGGGGGGGGGGGGTGTGAGCAGACCTCGACCTCGGTCGAGAGAGGCTCGTCGATGTCCGCATCGTCGAGGTGCTCGCCTACGGCCGAAAGAAAAAGAATCAACGACGCTCAGACAACCGACTGTCCGCGTCGTCGAGGTGCTCTTCCTACGCGAAGAGGGAGGGACGTGAGAGCGCCGCCGCCCTCGCCGCCGCGCTGCCGCCGCCGCCGCCGCCGCCGCGCCGAGCCAGTTGATCGCCGGTTCGATGCCGGCGTTCGACGTCTTGACGAGAGCCTTTTGCGCTCGCAGCTCGGTGAAGCCCATCTCGAGGAGCTGGTCGACGAGCTCCTTGGTCACCAGCGGCGGCCCAGACGGACCGGCCTCGCCCGCCTTGGCCGCCTTGCGCGCCAGCTTGCCCGCCAGCCCCGCGCTCCGCAGGAGCGTCTCCTCCTCCGTCTCCATCTCGGCCGGCGCGGCGGCGGCGGCGGCGGCCGCGGCCAGCGCCTTGGTCCGCAGCTCGCCCACGTTGGACTCGTCGAACGTTTGCGCCTCGGGCACAAAGCGCTTGTGCATTGCCATCTGCTGCTCGTTGAAGCAAACCTTGCCCGTCTCCTTGCAGACCCACACCTTCTCCTCGAGCGAGACCTGGGCAAAGGCCTGCAGCCCTGTCTCCTCGCTGTGGAGCTTCGCGTCGGCCTCGTTGTAGAAGAGCTTGCCCGTCTTCTCGCACTTGATGACCATCGCGTCCACCTTCTCGTCGGGAGCTGACATTGCTGCGATTTGGTGGCGGCGCGAAAGGTCGCGCCTCTCCGGAACGAGTGCAAAAGACAGAAAAAGGCCTTGGGTACTAGTACTTGAGCACTTGAGCACTTAGCACTTAGACGGATAGCGCACCACACACCTCTCCTTAAAATCCCTGTGTGGTGGCGGCGTGCCGTCCTCCCATCCCTCCCTTGGGTTGTCTGTTTTCTTTCTTTCTTTCTTTACTTGAGCACTGGATAGGGTCGATTCCGTCCGCATGGTACGGGACCCCTCGATCGTCTCGCCCTCCCTCACTGGTGTGTTCATCGGGGGGGGGTCATAACAAACACGGTACAGGATCGAGGTGCACGCTGCCGAAGCATGACTATGCTACTACGTGTGACACACTGCGAGTCCGTCCTAGCTATTACGCAAAAAACAGCACCCACCAGCGTGTGGTTACTTCGGCTCCGCCTCCCATGGGCGCGGCAGCTCCTCACAGCCGTCAGTGCCCTCGCAGCAGCCAGCCACACCGCCGGGTGACTTCTGGCACCTACAGCTCTCAGCTTGGAGACGCGCCTAGTCATGATACGCACTGTTTCGCGGTCTGGCAGCTGCACGCGCTTGCGCAGGCCGCAATCAAAGTGGAGGAGGAAGCGGTCCCTTGCGGGGGGGGGGGGGGCACAGCGGCTATTGTATGCAACAATGGTAGCGCTATAGTAGTCTTCCTCGCCTGCTCGTGACCTCGATCCTCGTCGCCGCGTCTTCAGGGCACCAAGAAAAGCCCAGAGGTGCAGCAACCCGCAGGCATGCCCGCAGGAAACAGTGGAGGATGCACAAACCTCTACCGTCCCGGATTCGCCTCTCTCCTCTCGGATACGTTCGCAGGTGACGAATAGGCACGGGCGACGCGGCGACACAGAGCCTTGCACCCTTTCGCCCTTTTCATCACTGCCCCGGCGCCCACGCCTCGATCTTCTTGGGCAGCAGCTGGTTCGACACGTCCTCTCCGTGGCCTAGGCAGCCGCGTTCACCCTTGCCCCAGGTAAAGAAGGCGCCGTCGGCGGCGAGGGCGAGGCTGTGGTCGTCCCCTGCCGACACAGCGACGACGCGCTGGCCGGCAAAAGCCTCGATCTTCTTTGGCCGCCACTGGATCTGCTCGTCGCCGTGGCCCAGCTTGCCGCAGTCTCCACGGCCCCAGCTCCAGAGGGCGCCGTCGGCGGTGAGGGCGAGGCTGTAGGTTGCTCCAGCAGACACGGCGACGACGCGCCGCCCAGCTAAGGCCTCGACCTTCTTCGGCAGCGCCAGCAGCTGGGTCTGCTCGTCGCCGTGGCCCAGCTTGCCAGAGGCTCCAGCGCCCCAGCTCCAGACGGCGCCGTCGGCGGTAAGGGCGAGGCTGTGCCATGCTCCAGCCGCCGAGACCGCGACGACGTGCTGGTCAGCCAAGGCCTCGACCTTCTTTGGCAGCAGCTGGTGCTGCGCGTCGCCGTGGCCCAGCCCGCCCAAGCCTCCAAAGCCCGAGCTCCAGACGGCGCCGTCGGCGGTGATGGCGAGGCTGTGAAGAGCTCCAACCGACACAGCGACGACGCGCTGCCCAGCCAAGGCCTCGATCTTCTTCGGCAGCAGCTGGTCCTGCGTGTCGCCGTGGCCCAGCTTGCCAAAGGCTCCAGAGCCCCAGCTCCAGACGGCTCCGTCGGCGGTGATGGCGAGGTTGTGGTCGCCTCCAACCGACACAGCGACGACGCGCTGACCAGCAAAGGCCTCGATCTTCTTCGGCAGCAGATGATACTGCCCGTCGCCGTGGCCCAACCGGCCGTAGGCTCCGCGGCCCCAGCTCCAGAGGGCGCCGTCGGCGGCGAGGGCGAGGCTGTGCGCATCTCCAGCCGACACGCTCACGGCGCGCTCGCCACCCAGCGTCGACGGGAGGCGGGCCGGCGTGTTGAGCCGCGTCACGCCCTCGCCGTGGCCAAGTAGCCCTGGGCCCCCCTCGCCGCCGCACGACGAGAGCCGCCCCTCGCCGTCGATGAAGACGCTGTGCAAATGGCCTGCAACCGCCCTCGCCGGCGGGTTGGACTCGCGCAGCAACGCCGAGTAGCACAGCCACCGCACGGCGCAGCCCTCGCCCTCCGGCAGCGCCGGCAGCTCGAAGCCGCGCTCTTGCGCCCACAAGCGGATGGCCTCCAGCGCAAGCGAGGCGTGGAAGAGCAGCGAGACGGCCGCGACGCGAGCGATGTCGGCGGGGTCGCAGCGGGAGAGGGCGCGCAAGAGGAGCTCCGTGGGGAGGTCGAGGAGGCGGATGGGCGGCGGCGTGCTTGGCGAGGGGGCGGCGGCGGCGGCGGCGGGGGCGAGGCGGCGCGAGCGGCGGCGCGGCGGGGTGGACATCGCGAGGCCAAAAGAATTCTACCACCAAAATCCTAGATGTTAAATACACAGGGTGGGGGTAGCAAATACACAAAATACACTGTGTTTTTGGCCTGTGAGCAAATACACAGCAAATACACAGCCAAATACACAGTCAGTGGTGGCGGTGCCGGTGGTTGGCAGACCAGGGAGTCACATGCACAAATGGTCAAGTCCCAATCCGAAATACCAAAAAGCTCAATTACCTGTCTTCAAGTGACCGACTCCCAAGGTCAAACGTTGGTTGGTCAAAGCTGCGAAAAATCAATGAAAACTCACGAAATACGGCAAATTTTCCTTCGCCTGCGGCGCGCTGGTAGGATCTAGTGGTCCCCATCGAGTGTGTATCCTGGCTTTGTGGGAGCAAATACACAAAATACACTGTGTTTTCAGCCCAAGTCCAAATACACAAAATACAGACTTAACATCTAGGTCCAAAATTCATCCGCATGTATTTTCATTTATACATGCAACCCTTTCTTGCGGGAGTGGCGCGTTTCTCTTCTTTCTGGGCACTTCCGCGCGGCCACTTTCGAAAGTGGGCCTTGCAAAATTCTTTCCTGCGGCGGGCGCTTCCGCGCCAAGCTCGCGCCAATCGTCCTTCGCCCACTTCGCAGACGCTCCACCGCCCCCGGTGGCAGCAGCCGTCGCCTCGAAATTAACGAGCTGTCGCGTCCTCTTTCGACAGCCCGAACCGCTCCTTCGCGGCGCGCTTTCTTTTGTGATAGTCCACTGGCTGGCCCCTCCCAGATAGGTAGGTAGGTAGGTTGGTCTTGTTTGGCCCAAAAGGGCCCTGCAATAGGTAGGTAGCCCCTAATTATTATTTTTTATCTTTTTTCGCTTCGCTGCGCGGCCTGGGGATAGCAATGGTACCGCGTCGGCGACGCGGGCGCCTTGCGGGCTTAGCCCTTAGCCACCCTTTATCGCGCGGTCAAAAAGCACGATTCTCAAGTTGGGCCCTCCCGCTGGCTCCCCGCCGTGCTGCCGGTGGTGCTGCTGCCTGATGACTCGGTGAGCCTCGCGATACCCACGCCGTCCGCCGAGGCGGAGGAGGCCGCGACCGCGACCGTGCAGCGGATGAACTGGTGGGCGAGGAAAAGCCAATTCTTGACTTGGGCCCTCGGGGAGCGGCCTTCTCTCGAGGTCTCGAGATACACAAAGCGGCCAAGAGCTGCGCGGCGCTTTGTCCGATCAGTTTTCTTTTTGGGCGTCTCAAAAAGAAACGGAACTAACGCGGCACGGCCCATTTTGGATCCGCCGCCCGACGTGAGGCGCCGCCGACCCTCCGCAGCCCCGCCACGGCCAACCCCTGCGCCGCCTCCCCGACCCCAGCAGTACACCTCCCGACCCACGCACCCACCGACGCGAGACGTCGACCTTCCCAGCGACCAGACTCCGCTTCGCTTCATGCGATGCAGATCCTCCCACCCCCCGACACGCCTTCGGCCACAGCCACAAACCACGCTACCGCCGCCACCGCCGCCGCCGCCGATCCGGACGGCCCACCCGCCCCCTGTTTTCCTGAAAGGGGTCCCACACCCCACAAAAAAGGGGCAGACGTCTCGGCCGTTATATAGCGCCCCCGGAGGTGATATGTAGCGGTCGCGATACATACCGCGAATGGGCGCCCTGGACCGATACATAACACCGGACGATATGTAGCGGGGTTCGCGATACATACCGGGACCGCTACATACCGCGCTCAGACGCGATATATCGGAGGGGCCACTTTCCTGACGACTGTTCAGCTCCCATCCTCCCAAACGTTAAAGCTTAAACAGCTCTACTGTGTACAGAAGCGTGCACCGTGCACGCGCTGGGGAAGGACACCTTCCTACTGGCCGTACGATCAGGTCGTCATCGAATGCTGGATACTAAGCTCTAAGGCCGCGAGCTCTACATGCAGGTGGTCAATTGTGCAGCAGGGCACGGTCTCCCCGCCCCCCCCACTCCACCACGCACCACCACCAGAGACCTATATCCATCCCCTACAAGTACAACTCGTCCTCTCTCGCTCCTCCGCGTTGGTCGGCTTTTCACCCCCTGCTCGAGCGTGCGAGGCCTAATTTGACCCTCGCACTAGCATGGAACACAATAAAACAACCTTTGCTCACTCGCAATCACAAGTTATCCATCCATCCAGCCAGCCGCCGCCGCCCCTCGCATGCACGAGCACCCGCATCAAGCCGTGGCCGGCCCCGAGCCGAGGCAAAGGCCGGCGCAGCCCGGCGGCGACGGAGACATGCCTCGAGACGAGAGACGACCGCAAGCACAGCTGCCTGTGCCTCGCCGCGCCGCTGTCCCGGCCGCGGGGCGTCGGGGCCGACTCGGGTCTCACCCGCGCGCAACCTCGATCATCTCCTCGAGGTCCACCAGCTTGTGCGCCACCTTGCCGTCGGCGGCGCCGCGCCTCGCCTCCTCGGCGACCAGGCGGCGCACTCCCTCGTACTCGACCACGGGCCCGCCGTGCTGCGCGAGCAGCTCCCGCACCTCGTCGTCCCCGCCGCCGCCGCTCTCGGGAAGCAGCCCGCCCGCGTGGTCCGACAGCAGCGCAGCCACGCTCTCCGCCGCGTCGCCGACGTTGGTCAGGATGACGCCCGACGGACCTCGCTTCAGCCAGCCCGCCACGTACAGGCCAGCCTCGCCGGAGACGCGGCCGCCCTCGTTCGGGACGACGCCGCGCGCCTTCACGAGTCTCGGGTCAGCTCGCGCAATCTCGCGCAATCTCGCGCAATCTCGGGTAACCTCGCTCTGGGATGACGCCGCGCGCCTCGTTGCCCTCGATGGGCTGCGTCTCGGCCACATCTCGGCCATACCTCGGCCATACCTCGGCCATACCTCGGCCATACCTCGGCCAGATCTCGGCTAGATCTCGGTCAGATCTCGCTAGATCTCGGTCAGATCTCGCCTCGTCGAACGGCACGCCCTCGATCGGAAGGGAGCGGTACCCCACCGATGTCAGCGCCAGCTCGCAAGGCACCTCCTCCTCGGAACCTGCGACGGCCGCAGCGCGCTGCGACGCGCCCGGTGCGCCTTGCAGCTCCGTCGCCGCCACGCGCACCGCACCCAGCCGCCCGCTCCCCCCCTCCACAAACTCCACCGGCGAACGCTGAAACTGGAGCCGCACACTCCTCCTCTCTGCGCCGCCGCCGCCGCCGCTTCCGCCCTCTGGCACCAGAGACTTCATCAGCTCAACCAGCCGCTTGCGCGGCCGGTCCTCTGCAGCGGCGGCGAGCACGGCGGCGGAGAAGGCGTCGGGCGGCGCCTCGATCGACGTCGAGACACGGGCGAGCTTTGTGAGCTCACGCAGCTCCTTGATCGTGAAGGCCGCCTGCAGCACGCCCCGCCGGCCGAGGATCGCAACCTGCCGCACCGCGGACGCGCGCAGCGCCTCCACCGCCCGCTCGCAGATGTCTGTCGGCGCGAGCTCGTCGACGTCCTTGGCGAGCACGCGCGCGCAATCGAGGGCGACGTTCCCGTTGCCGACGACGACGACCGTCTCGACTCTGGACAGATCGAAGCCCTCCCCCTCCCACTCCGGGTGGCCGTTGTACCAGGCCACAAACTCACGCGCGGGGTGCACCCCGCGCAGCTCCTCGCCGGGGACTCCAAGGGAGCGAGAGGCCGAGGCGCCGTACGAGAGGAGGACGGCGTCGTAGGCTGAGCGCAGCGCCGCGATCTCGATGCGCGGGCCGAGCTCGGCGCCCACGCCGCCGAGCGACGAGCCAAAGTCGAGGATCCCGCGCCGCAGCTCCTGCGCCCAGCCCCCGTCCCCACCCTCTGAAGGCGGCGGCGGCGCGAGCGGCGGCGGCGCGCCGACGGAGACGTTCCCAAAGTAAGAGAAGCGTTCATGCGACGCGATCTCCTCGAAGCGGTCGGTCACGTTCTTCACCTCTGGGTGATCAGGCGCCACGCCGTACCGCACCAGCCCGTACGGCGCCGGCAGCCGCTCAAACATCGTGACATGGACGTGCTCATTCTTCTTGAGCAGAAAGTCGGCGGCGTAGAAGCCGGCCGGCCCGCTCCCGACAATGGCGACGTTCCACCTCGCAGTAGAGGAGGAGAAGCGGCGCACGCTGACTCGCATGCCTTTGCGCATATCAGCGGCTTCGCGGGGCTTGTGGTTGTTTGGGTGGTCTGTTCACAGCTTCGACCCTGCCGCCGCCCTTGCCGCCGCAGCCCTCGCCGCCGCAGCCCTCGCCGCCGCCTCCGAGCCCGCCGCCTCCCTCGCCGATGGGCGGGCAGAAGCCGAAGGTGTATGAACAGACTCACTCCGCCTGCCGTCCTCCCATCCCGTGTCTGGGTTTTTGTTTTCTTTCTTTCTTTCATCCGCCTGCGAGGATGTGTTTCGACAAGTACTCGTCCTTGATTGAGAGAGCAGTCTATTCGTTAGACCCGTGAACTCCGAGCGGACTGCACATGTACATGTCATATCGATCGCGCTCCTTGCGGGGAACCTAGCTGTGAAGGACGGACGACGCACGAGGCGATGATGGTATGGAGACAAGACGGACAACCCGCCCATGACCAATCCCTCCTCCCTCCCTTGGACCTCATCGCCACCGTTCTATGCCTCACTGCTCCGCGCCTCGCTACAGCACACGTTCAACTGTGATGCGCCCGGGTCTCTTCGCGCTGCGGGACCAGCTCGGACACGCTCCCCCTCCTCCACCACTCCACGCCTCCTCGAGCACACTGCTCAACTGCCTTCTGCTGTGCGCCCGAGTCTCTTCGCGCCCTGCGGGACCAGCTCGGACACTCCCCCTCCTCCACCGCTCTAAACCTCCTCGAAAGCACACTGCTCAACTGCCTTCTGCTATGCGCCCGAGTCTCTACGTGCCTGGCGGGACCAGCTCGGACACTCCCCCTCCTCCACCGCTCCACGCCTCCTCGAAAGCACACTGCTCAACTGCGTTCTGCTGTGCGCCCGAGTCTCTTCGCGCCCTGCGGGACCAGCTCGGACACTCCCCCTCCTCCACCGCTCTAAACCTCCTCGAAAGCACACTGCTCAACTGCCTTCTGCTATGCGCCCGAGTCTCTACGTGCCTGGCGGGACCAGCTCGGAAACTCCCCCTCCTCCACCGCTCCACGCCTCCTCGAAAGCACACTGCTCAACTGCGTTCTGCTGTGCGCCCGAGTCTCTTCGCGCCCTGCGGGACCAGCTCGGACACTCCCCCTCCTCCACCGCTCTAAACCTCCTCGAAAGCACACTGCTCAACTTTCTGCTTCTGCTATGCGCCCAGTCTCTACGCGCCTTGCATGCTCACTTCCTCGCAATCTTCCAGAGCATGCACTTCCATTTGGCACACGGAGATTCGATGAATGGCAAACTGGAACACAGCGAATGGAGACAGCTGCTCAGCCGCATGTATAGCTTAGACAGACACTTAGCAGAGACACATAGACACTTGATGTCGCGGGGGCGGCAGCCCTTAGGGCTGTGCGCTCGCGTCAACAAGCCATCTGCTGTACGTAAAGCCTGTAGCGCTGGGCACTTGAGCACGGTGGAGGGTCGAGATTGGAGCACTTCCACTTGGAGTGCAGTTAGTAATTTAACCGCACACCCAGAGCCGGGAACCTAAGAAGGCAAGCGCACCCAGCGGGCCGGATGATAGGCATCGCCATCGGGTTGCGCTTGCCGCTTGCGGGCCCCCCAAGGCCAAGCCCGCGAGAGCCCTACGCCCCTACCACGGCCCGCGCGCCTAGGCCTTGCGTTTGGTTTTTTGCCCCTTGGCGCTTGGGGGGTTCGCGTTCGCAGGGATGAGGGAAGGGGCCATAAAGTAAACACGGGTCTCCGAGGGTCGGCTCCGAATCCGAAGAATCCTATCTTAACTTTTGCATGCACACACACGAGGCGCGCGCGCGCGCGACCGGCCGGCTCGCGCCACGCACGTCGCACGCGCGCGGCGCGCGCGTGGCCTCTCACACTCGGCGCGCGACCACCACCTGATGCTTGTTGGACTCGATGAGTCGCTTGCCCAGCACCTCGAGGCCGCGCTCCTGCAGCCGGCCGCGCAGCAAGGGCGCCACGTCCCAAAAGTAGTCGTCGAGGTAGGGCTCGGTGGAGCGCAGCGCGGCGAAGACCCACGGGTTGGAGCGCGCGCGCAAGAAGCCGGGCGACGCGGGGTCCATCTCGAAGATCGCGAGGTGGCCGCCCGGCTTGAGCGCCCTCGCGGCCTCGCTGAGGATGTCGTCGGTCGCGCTGCCCGGAAGCTCGTGCAAGACCAAGCAGAGCGACACCAAATCGACCGAGCCGTCGGGCACGTCGCCGAGCCGCGCGGCGTCGCCCAGAGCCAGCTTGAGCCGCGGGTCGCTCGCACCCTCCTCGCGGTCCAGCAGCGCCCTCCCGACGGCGACCATGTGCGGCGACAGGTCGACGCCCACGCACGAGGCCGCGCCCGGAAAAGCGTCGAGCAGCCGGCGCGTCAAGATGCCGGTGCCGCAGCCCAGGTCGACGATCGCGGCGCCGGGCTGGCGGCAGGGCGCGTCTGCCGGCAGCAGCGCCAGCAGCTCGCGCTCGAAGGCGCCGCGGAAGTTGGCGTCGCCGTCCTCGGCCGGCAGCCCCGGCAGGTTGCGCGCGCCGACCGCGCGCGAGACGAGCGGCTGGTGGCACGCGTGCTCCCAGCAGAGGTTGCCGTCGTCGTACGCGTGGAAGGCGCGGCGGTAGTAGGCGGGCGTCACGAACGACTCGCCCGCCTCCTGCTTCACCGCCGCCAGGCTCGCGTCCACGCACACATCCTGCAGCGCCGCCACCTCCGCGTCCCAGTCCACGCCGGTCGACTCGGTCGAGACGCGCATCTTGGCGAACGCGCTCGCCTTGATTTTGCCGTACAGCGGCGTGCGGCGAATGATCGAGAAGACCAGCCCGCTCAGCTGAAATTGCCACCGCGGCCGCGCCACGCCGGGCACGATGTCGCCCTCCGCCGTCTCCGCCGGCTCTGTCACGATGGCGTGCCGCAGGTTGGCGCGCGCCGCGTCGCTGTAGAGCGGCGCGGCGGCGGCACACGCGCGAGGCGGCGCGGTGCGCAGCGGCGTTGCTGCGCCGGCAGCCACCAACGGCACCGCCAGCGCGCAGCAGCAGCACACGGCGAGCATCAACCGACCGATTTCGGAAGGGTCGCAACGAGCGCCACGTCACCTGCGCCCCCCCCCCCCCCCCCTTCATTAAACCGTCAGTGTTAGTGCCAGTGCGCGCGCTCGTTAGAATTCTTTTGTGAGAGCGACGCTCATGCAAGAGCCATCGAGTAGCGCCCTGAATCGCCCGAATCTGGCCTTCCTCCATATACCCAAGAATGCGGGCAGCGCGATTGAGGACGCCGCCAGAAAACTTGGCGTATTTTGGGGACGCTGGGCCGTGCGGAACCACACTCGTGTCCACGTGGGTGATGGATGCCCATATTACCATCTTCCGATCGACGCGCTGCCGGAGCCGCACATTTACCAGGGCAGGGCTGTCTTTTGCGTCATACGCAGCCCGTTTGCTCGGGCCGTCTCGCAGTACGGGTGGCTCCACTACATGCAGGCTTACGACAGCGCACCTTCCCGTAAGCCGCACCAGCGTAGAAGACATTCCATGCAGCTTCCGCCGGACCAGCAAAGCTTCTCCTCGAGGAAGCGCTGCACGGTGCTCGGCCTGAACGAATACCTCCGCCAAGAGCTCTCCTCCTACGCGGCCGCAAAGAACGCGACCCGGCGGCGCCAAGTCGGGAATTGTCACTTCCTGCCGAATTCTCGCTTTGTCTGGACGGGTGAAGGCCGGCGCGCGTGCCAATTCGTGCTCAATCACTCGACGCTGGAGCACGATTTCGACGCGCTCATGCGCGAGCACGGGCTGGGGATTCGATACCTCGATATGTCGTCACACGCTCAGATGCTGTCTTCGGCCTCGTTGGCGGCGGCATGCAAGAAGCTGGTGCCGAGTGACATTGACGCGGACAATGTGCGGCGCATGCAGCGCATCTACAGCGACGACTTTTCGAGACTCGGATTCTGGCCCTGGCCGGGTGGCTGACGCGAGCGCCGGAGGTTCTCTTGAGACAAGATCTCAAGATGTATGCTAGGTTGTAGGTAGGCGTAGGGCGCTTCACCGAAAGCTGCATTACCCATTAGTTCGGTCATCGAGAGAGAGATTTTTAGCAATACCAAACAACTCTAACACTAAACCTGGTACGTACTACGACGTACAAGCGCGCCGATGAAATTATTTCGAAAGACTACCTCCCAGCGATGCGGCAAACGCTTGGCCGCTGCATGAGGATGAAAGGACTTCAAAGTAAATTAATAAAAATCGAAGGCAGACAAAAAAGAAAAAACTGCCCAAGGCCGGACCGAGCCTCGCGCCGCGCCTGCAGGGTGTGTTTAGCCGAGCAGAGCTCACATGGCCTGGATGTGGCCTGGAGCCCATGACCCAGCCGCGGTGGCGCGCCCTCCCTCGCGCAGGCGTCCTCGCGGCACCCCCTCGACTCCGGCACCATGCTCGAATCGCTCGAGGACCAGCTCTTCAGGCGTCTCCTGCCAAAACAGCCTCCGCGCCTCCACCAGAGCCTCCGCACCGCCCGGATTTCCGCCACCGCGCCGCCACCGCGGCGTTCGCGCCGCCACGCACACGGTGGCCGCCGCCTCGGAGCCTTTACCTGGACCGGCTCCCTTCCCAGGTACCTCGACGATGCCCCGGGCGCCGGCGCCAGCCGCACCTTCTCCTGGGAGCCGTCGTCGTACGCACTGCACGCAGACCAGGGGTCGGGGACGGACCTGCCGTGGCCGCGCGCCTCGCCGTCGGCCTCGCCGCTCCGGCTGCGCGTCAGCATGGAGCGGCCGCCGCTGCAGGCCTGCGAGCGCTGTCTGTTCTGATTTATTAACTCACTGATTAGTGTCTCTGTTGATCGGCCGCTGCAGGCCTGCGAGCCTCCGGCGTGGACGTGGCGTTCTCACTCGCATTCACACCGGTGTGTCACGACCTACACTGATCCGCCGCTGCAGGTGGGCGACCCTCCCTCGTGGACGTGGCACAAGAACTGCACGCTGCCGCGGATTGCCGTCGAGGCGTGGCGCGGCGACGGAGGGCCGCTGCCGGAGCGCGCGGCGGTGCTGCTGTCGGCGGTGACGCTCGACGTCGCCTCCGAAGCGGCCACCTCGTGCGGCCTCGAGGGAGGCACGCTGTTGCCTCTGGTCTCCGGCCGCGCCTCCTTTTCCGCGCTCACCTTCAAGACGACCTCGTACAACCTCAAGGGGCGGCAGATGCACCTGATGGCGACGCTGCTGGTCCACCGCGCCGAGGCGGTGGGGAAAAGAAGTCACCACGCCGACTGCTCGCCGCCCCTGATTTCTTCTTTCAGGTCCCGCGCGCCGAGGCCGACCCCTTCCCGCCCGCGACGGCGACGGCGACGGCGCTGCTCGCTCCTCCGCTCGGGCCGGACGCGGTGGTCGCTGTGGCGTTGCCGCCGGCGGTGCCGCCGAGCTCGACGATGTCAACGTCTCCCAACCTCTCCCCACATCTCCCCGCATCTCCCCGCATCTCCCCAGGTGCCGCTCAGCTCGACGATGTCCATTGCTGCAGCGCTCGTCTCGCCGCCGATCCGGGTGGACGCACGCAAGCGGCAGCCCAAGGAGCGGGGCGGCGGAAAGGCGGAGAGGAGCCGAGAAGAGGGAGCCGAGGGGAGCCGAGATGCGTGGGCCGAGAGGAGCGGGGCGGCGCAAAAGGCGCTCTTGGCTCGGCCGGAAGTGTCCGGGGCATGTCCGAGACGTGTCTGAGACATGTCCGAGACGTGTCCGAGACATGTCCGCAGGCGAGCTCGTCCGCGACGGGCGCCGGCGGCGCGCGCGTCGACGGGTCGGCCGGCACGGCCCTAGATGCGGAATATCTCCCCAGATCTCGAGGCCTGAGACGAGCTCGGGCCTATCTCCCCAGATCTCCCCAAATCTCCCCAGATCTCCCCAGATCTCAGGGGTGGAGGGGCAATAGGAGCAACGCAGGGGACTCCCACTGCCTGATAGTGATAACAATGATGAGACTCATAAGAACAAAACAGGCACGGCGGCGACCTGCATGCCGTTCGCGCCCGAGATGCTCGAGCGGCGCATGGAGAAGGTTGACAAGGGCGCGGGTGCGGCACACCTCCCCCAATCTCGCCCGTATCTCGCCCGTATCTCCCCATGAAGGTGGACAAAGGCGCGGTGCGGCTCCAGATCGACAACTCGATCGACGGGCTGCGCGCTTACCTCTCGGCCGTCAACATCCGAAACAAGTGCAAGGTGGCTCGAGAGACAGCCGAGAGGCAGCCGAGAGACAGCCGAGAGGCAGCCGAGAGGCAGCCGAGAGGCAGCCGAGAGACAGCCGAGGGACAACAACCTACCCAACCACGCCGACGACCTCACACCGCGGCTCTCCAGTCTCCTGCCTCTCTACCCCGCCCGTCCTTGCCGTCCCCGCAGCACCCCCTCTTCCTCGTCCTCCGGTTCGACTCGTGCGTCGGCTTGCTCTACGACTCCTCTCGCGCCGCCGACCCGGCAAGACCTCGCCAGCATCACCGGCAGGGGTGGTTGGGCCTCCCCTGAGCTCCTCTCCGGGCCCTTCTCCTCTCGCAGGCTAGCCTCGCCGACGACGCCGCCTTCGACAAGATGATGTCCGTGCTGACTGCGTCGCAGGACCGGCCCCTCCGGCTGGACGCGTACCCGCAGCCCGAGGCGCAGGATGCCGACAAGGTCCCGCCCTCTCCGAGCCCTTTCCCCCCTCCCCCCTCTCCCCCTTCTCCCCCCCTCTCCCCCCTCTCCCCCCTCTCCCCCCTCTCCCCCCTCTCCGCTCTTCCCCGGCCCCCCCCCCCCCCCCCCCTCGCCCCCTCGCTCCCGCCGCCCTCGTGTGTGCGGAGGAGTGCACCTGACTGCACCTAACCTGACCGTACCTCCCCTTCCGTGCACCTGTACCTGACCGTACCCACCTCACTGACCTGTCTAGATGCCCTGCCGCCCTCGCACAGGCGCTGCCCTGCTCGCTGCCCGAGTACGTGATTGCAATCAAGTCGGACCAAGTCGGGCCGCAGCACGACTGCGGCTTTGCAGACTGCCCCGTCCGCCTCTCGGCCGCTCTCTCGCTGCCTCACTTCACCGCCCTGCCCTCCTCCTACACGATGATGACGCCGCAGCAGCTGGGCATCCTCCGCCGCACCTACTGCCGGCTGCACTGCGCGCACTCGCTCGCCTCGTCGACGCCGACCGTCTCCGCCATCCCGGTGGCGCCGGCTCACCACCTAGCACCACTCAACCACCACCTAGCACCACCCACCGTACCACCACCCACCACTTCTGCCCCTACCACCACCCCACCGCTTCCGCCCCCTTGTCGCTGCGAGTCGACCCGTGCCCCACCGTGACTTGCATAGGTGGCGGCGCTCTCCTACCACTCCGCCGCGCCCCCCCCCTTCCAGCACTGCAACGCGTGCCAAGCGCCGCCCGATCCGTACGGCCCTGACGGCCTGATCGCGTCGCACGAGACAGAGCACATGCTGTCGCCGTGGAACCGAGCGACCGGTGCCGCCTTCCCCCCCCCCCCCCCAATTAATCGTTTGTCCCCCTTTCTGCTGGCCACTACCTGCTTCCCCTTGCTCCACATGGGACCCAAGCCGCGTGGCGAGGGTCGCATTCTTTACCACTCGTCGCTCGCGAGCGACTTTCCCTCTGATACTGTCCGAGAAGCTACCTGATCCCATATGGCTGCTCCGTTCGGCGGAAACGGCATCTACCTTCAT